CTGCGAGGGACACGGTCGAATGCCTTCTCCAGATCCACGCAGCACATGTGGACTGGTTGGGCAAACTCCCATGAACCCTCTGCCACTCTGAAGAGGGTATAGAGCTGGTCCAGTGTTCCACGGCCAGGACGAAAACCGCATTGTTCCTCCTGAATTCGAGGTTCGACTATCGGTCGAATTCTCCTCTCCAGTACCCTGGCATAGACTTTCCCGGGGAGGCTGAGGAGTGTGATCCCCCTATAGTTGGAACACACCCTCTGGGTCCCCCTTCTTAAAAAGAGGGACCACCACCCCGGTCTGCCAGTCCAGAGGCACTGTCCCTGATCGCCATGCGACGTTGCAGAGGCGTGTCAACCAAGACAGCCCAACAACATCCAGAGACTTAAGGTACTCAGGGTGGATCTCATCCACCCCCGGTGCCTTGCCACCGAGAAGCTTCTTGACTACCTCAGTGACTTCAGCTTGGGTGATGGACGAGTCCATCTCTGAGCCCTCAGCCTCTGCTTCCTCATCAGAAGACATGGCGCCGGGATTGAGGAGATCCTCGAAGTACTCCTTCCACCATCCGACAATGTACCCAGTTGAGGTCAACAGCTGCCCACCTCCACTGTTGTCCTAAGAAACTGCCCCGGGATGTTTCCTTTTCAAATGCTCCTGCATGGTGCTGGTGCTGTTGTGAAACGCCATTTCTGCTTTGCAGAGCACCATGTTGTTTGGTATGTGCTTAAAATACTGCCAAACCTTTGGTGACCACAGTCGCGGTATTTTCATGTTCCCTGGACACGCCATGCTGCTAGTGCTATGTGTATCCATACTCGCGTTACTGCCTACTTCCTACTTATCTTCTTCTGCGTCCTCTTAAAGGGCGATTGGCATCCAGCTTTTGGCGCATTACCACCACCATCTGCTCTGGAGTGTGAAACTGAAACTTGTCTTACAATTTTTTTTTTGTTTCCTACATATGACAAGTCGACGATTAATATGCAAATCGACTAATTATCATAATTGATTAAGTCGAATAATCACTACAGCCCTAAAATCAAATGTCAAACACATTGCAAGCTGTCTTTCTGGGAATTTCATAATTACATCTGTAAGTGCAGTTCTGGTGCATGGATTGTCAGTCATGCAAAAAAAAGTTTTTTTTAGGATTTTTGAACTGAGATCCACACAAGTACACATTAGTTCCTTTGACTGAGAGAACTCCTAAGGTAAAAACATATTTATATGTTGTATAATACTCTTTTTTTATAGTAATTGTGTGGGGTGTCTATAATAACAGGGGAACTAAAAACTGGTCTTTGGCATTTTTTCTTTTTTAGCACACAGAACTTTCCTGAGATAAATACTTCTGGAACCACACAAGCCCCAGCAGGTTCCAGCAGACTCCTCCATGTCGGCATCTACACACGTCTACATTCTCGGGGAAAAGCCCCAGACTCAAGGCAGCATTGAAGAGGAGGGATTGCCTGAGACGGAGCTCGATGTGAGTGGACTCAATCTTTGTTTGCCACTGTTGGTTGTTAAAAATGTGTTACGGCAAGCCGCACACCAACAGTCTGGAGTTAAAGGGGAATCTTTTTTTGGCAAAAACTCCTGAATGTGAACAGCTCCAAACCCCAGATGCATTTGCAAAAGAAAGTGTGTTTCTTGGGATCTGACAAAGCTGTAGAGACAGTAATTTCTAGTTTTCGCTGGTTTTCATTTTAGACAAAAGGACGTAGCCTCAGATAGTATCCCAGTGTCCAGCCCTAAGAATAAACTGTTTCTTTTTACAAATTTAAATGTGACTTTTAGGACAACCTGATTATTTTTATGCCCCTTTGGGTGAAATAATCTTATTCTTCAACTTGTCTTGTCACAATCTGGGTGCAGAACCTGACGGAGTCCAACACCACCCACAATAAGCACATCTCCAGCCTTACCATTGAGGAGGGCGATCTCGACATTCAGAGGCCCAAGAGAAGGAGGAGTTCCCACGTGTCCTTCAGTGATGAAGAGGAAATCATCAATCTAGGTAAAGACAAACAGAAATATGGAGTGATTGCATTTTTCATCTCCACACATAGACTTTTAAAATAAAAGTGTGCTTGAGACAGGAAATGGCATATTTTGCTTTTTTTTTTTTTGGCACAGAGGATGTTGAACCCTCAGTTGGATGCTTCAGGAACATGATTCAGACAGCATTTGTCCCAAAAAAGGTAACTATGAAGTTGATATTTATTTATTATTAACAAGTGTCAGAAAACCTTTTCTTACACTCCATAATGGAAGGTACTGAATTCACACTGACAAAGAAAGTTTGCTGTGTCTGTACCGAACATAAGTGTGTTAAGTTGGCATCCATTCAGCTTGTGTTCACAGGTGTAAAAATTAGGTAATTATTATAATCACAAAACAAATTTAATATTATTACCGTGCAACCGACAGACGGGTCCAGTATTACACACACTACAGACGCTGTGTTTACATTCTTCTGGTCCCTGGCACCTGCAGGTCATGAATGATAGCAGGCTGTGATCTGTCGGGTACCAACTTGTAGTTTGTCATATCTCTCATCCAAGAATACAAGACTCTATAATCAAGTAGTCTATAATCATATCAGTCTGGCATTAAAGACATGTAAAAGTATTAAAAATGTATAGTGGGGTATTTCTTAATGTCATTTATTTCATAGAACAAAACGTGAAAATGTATTGGCTTTGTGTTAATCACAAACCTCTTATCAATTATTTAATGAGATGATGCACTCAAGAAACTATTAGTCTAGTGGTTTAAGGATTTTATAAAGGCAAAGCAAAACTCATTTGGATCATTACATTCATCTCTTGTCCATATGGTGGATGCATGTACTTTTTTTTGACCACATGCTGCTGTGCTAAAGATATTTGTCATTTGATATCAGTCTTGGAAAATGTAAATGTATTTATTGTAAAAAAAACAAGAAAAATTGGTGTAACTCCTGACATTACTTAGAAAAAGAAGACACAAGATCACAGCTCATTGGGACTGGAGGCTGCTGTGTGTGGGATGCATGGCCTACCAGTCAGTGGAAGTCTGTATGGGGACCTTCCTCCAACCAGCCACGAAGGAGCGACCCACCACCACACTGCATCACAGGGACCAGCAGCCATCCTGGGAGGGTTGCCTGTGCCTCTCCCTAACCTTGATCCTGACATGGATGTGACACCAACCTTAGCGGAGCCACCCATTACCCTTAATAGCAGCTCTGCACCAGGACCTTACACTGCAGAACCTTTGAATGAACCACACAAAAAGAAATATGCCAAAGAAGCCTGGCCTGGGAAGAAGCCTGCATCCTCACTGCTCATATAGCAGGCTCTCAGGTGAAGTATGGGACCTTCTGACAGCCATATTTCATGTTCACTCTGTTGGAATCACAAGCTGAGAACAGTGGTTCCAAAGTTACAACTGAGCCATCACAACAGGATAAAATCATTTCTGTGCTTATTCCATGGACATTTTTATTACATTGATTCTATCACCTATCACTGATCTACTCTACTCTACTTTCGGCTGCACCGCCCTGTCAGTCACTTTCAGCTGTTCCCGTTAGTCGCCACAGTGAAATTTGGCACCTGTTTTATGCCAGATACCCTTCCCGACGCAACCCTGAATCGAACCCGGGCTGCAGTGGCGAGAGTGCTGAATCCCAGCCATTAGTCCATCAGAGACCCCCAGTTATCACTGATGGTTTATACATTAATTTTGTTTCAGTAATCCAGTTAAACCTTATATCTATTTTGTTTTCAGACAATATTAGTTTGATAATTAGCATGTTTTATCAATTAAGGAACACTTTCATTTTCAGACCATGCTCCTCAGATTTCATCAGAGCATGATAAAACCACAAGTGCTTTAGATATTATCATCTGATTTACACGTTTAGCTAAAGTTAATTAGCTATAAAATATCTTGTTGGAGCCAGTGGAAGCTGTAGATGTATACAGTACAATAACCTGTTGTACTGTTAAACGCACTGTTTAATATATCATTTAATATCCTGAAGCTGAATGTAGTATTGTCCATAGTTTTGCCAAGAACATCTTCATAGGATTGTATTTTTCTTCACTACCTGTTGTTGTACCCGGTACTTTTTACCATACTGACTCTGAGAGACGAGGCAGTCCAAGTAACTACAAAATAGTGTTGATTTATTCCATGAACACAGGCAAAAATTAACATTACACGCTCAGGCATCTTGCACCTCCAACCTGCACGCAGGCAGATGTAAGATGAAAGACCCTGAACCCACCAGGCCTATACATTATATCCCCTCGGTGGGGCTAGCCCCATACTACACAGAAACGTCAACCGAGACGTCTCTGTTACTAGCTTTGCAGCTGGTCATAGCAGTAGTCAAAACATGAAGCAAATCAATGTGTGTGTGTCTGTTGATTAAGTGGTGTGTAACTAAAAACATTCTCACACGACTTCTAGTAACATGTCGTGACTCAAACATAAGAACATATTATGGCTAAGGCTACAGTTATACACGTCATAATAATAATATTAAACACCCTGTCTGCTGACAGTCATCAACTCTTCTCTCTAGTTATCCTTGACCAGATATACCCTGTAGAAACTCATAAGCATGACTAAGCATTTAACAGTCTAACTAGACATCCTATCTCCACTAAACATTTCTAATACATAAAGTATCTATCCAATTTCTATCTGACTAAAAATACCTAACACTGTTAAGTATTGCTTTGGTAACAATTTCTGGGTAAAAGAACAGTAAATTCTAATAATACTGTTTGTCTTTGTAAATCAGTCTAAGTTAAATCTATACTTTGTTAGATTTTTATTACATCAAACCCCATTTTTATACTGATTATTGTGGGATCTTTTTCAGCAATTGTCATTCAACATATATCCATTCAGCGACTGCCTTTCTACAGTATGTAACAGTTTTCATCATTACTGTCAAGGTGAAATTCAAGTATTATAACATTAGCATATGTACTTAGAGCTGCATCAGTTGATTTTGTGGCTATACGGTATGGGAGCAGCAGAACATGCTGTTGAGACAGCATAGACATACAGTATTCTCAGTTTAAAGATGTGTTGAAAATTTTGAAAAGCTGTTGCTTATCTTCATGAGGTGTTGCCCTGCTTTGTTAAATACCCACTCTTCACACCGTAAACATTAGCATTACAAGCACTAGGTTTAAGTTAAAAGGAGGACTTTGGTGAGTGGTCCACGGGCAAAGTGGTGAAGACGTTCTGCTTGTTCAACAGCTGGTTGATAAACTGCTCCTACACTCTTCCTTAAGGGTTTTTTTCATCATAGGAACCTACTGAAACATGCCAAGCTGGTCAAGCTGAGTAACGCTCTTCACAGGTTTTGCATGTGTTTTTACTACACTTAGCCTACTTTGGAGGACACCAAAGGAGATAGTACAAGAACTATCAGAAGTACCAGGACCGTGTTGGGGGAGGGCGTGTCGTGCATACAGAGCAGTAGTCGGTGATTGGTTAAATGCCAGCATCTTCACGCCTCATGCATTAACATTAGAAGCATTGTGTGTAAACACACAGCTGATTGTGTGTGTTAGAGAGGAGCAGCCCCTACCTCTACACAGAGACCGACAGAGAGAAAATACAGTGGAAAAACAAAGCAGGACAGTCTGTGTCAACCCTGGAGGCTTGGTGATGGTTAATGGAAGTGAAAGCTATTTCCGGTTCTTTTAACCAGGAACTCAGAGAGATGAAGCGGACCACTTGGATATATAAAAAAAAAACGTGCTGGTTTATTCAAAGAATCACAGGTAAAATTAACATTACACGTCCAGGTATCCTCCACCTCCAATACTGCGCGCAGGCAGATGAAGAATGAAAGACCCCGAACCCAACAGGCCTGTACATTATATCTGGTTTGGGCTAACCCCATTCTACACAGCGACGTCAAACCGTGGCGTCACCTGATATGCCAGCTTCACAGCTGACCGTAGCAGTAGTCAAAACATGGAGAAAATCAATGTGTGTGAGTGTTGATTAAGTGGTGTGTATCTAAGAACATACAGGACATTCAGGGACATGTCCTGATATTAAGCCTATGATTAAGATTACGGTTAAAACGTATCATAATAATAACAATAATCATCCTGCCTGCTGACAGTCAAATTTTCTATCTAGTTATCCTTGGCCTAGATGCACCCTGCAGAAAACTCATAAGAATGACTAAGCATTTAAACTAGACATCCTGTCTCCACTAAACATTTCTAATACAACAAGTATCTAACCAATTTCTATCTGACTAAAAAATACCTAACAGAAGTATGGGGTATACCACTCGTTAGATTCCTAGAATGGAAACAGAGCATAAGTCTAGCCTTCCGTCTGCTTTTAGCTCTGTTACGCTTTCCACTGCATAACTGTTGGAAGCTCTGGTTGTGGGAAAACTGCTGTAAGTTAGGCTGGTGAGAGTTTCTGCACTGAAAACAGAAAAACAAAGAGGAACAATGACCTGCAAGTGGTTAAAGTGCTATGTAGAGCTTAGGTGAACTTCAGAATTTGGTGATAATTGTCTGTGGGGCTGCCACTACCAGTTACAGCTTTCATATGTACATAACAATTTATGCCGTTGTTAATATAAAACATTGATTATTGCAGCTTTTTAATATTCGCTCACAACAATTCTTAATTGTAACTAGATTTAGACTGCAGCTCTTTTTCCTCTGGTGATAAATGTATACTTTATAAGAGCAGTGCAACTGTGTTACTTTTTGCCTCATTTAATATCTTTGAAGGCTTCATCTGATAGTGGAATTTTTTTTTTTATTGATTTACAGTAGTACACACTGTTTTAGCCAGTATAGGCCAGCTCTCTCTGTTTGCAAACATTTAGTCTTAAATGTTCTTATATTCCTTTCTGTCATAAGTTTTCTTCACCAACCACTGTATGAGTTCTGCTCTGTGTGAATTCTATTTGGTCAGTAGATGTTTTACTCATAAAAATAGGAAGAAAATGGCACCAGGAAAGGAACACCAAACATACCTGTAATAGACTGTGACAGGGCTGTGAACTGTGGGTGAAGACTGACTTCTAAGGAACTCAGTAAAGAAACTGGTATTTGTGACAATGAAACAGTTTTTTTTCTCTTTTTCTATTTTTATACTGGAATGTGGCTTTCTAAGCAAGTGCCATTGTGAGATATTTATGTAACAGAGTGAGGGGGCTATAATTGATATGAATGTTATTCATCATTCATCTATTCTTGATATTTGTATAATAAAGTATAATCCATACCTCTCACTTGGCTGTGTGTGAAATGATGTGGAGGAGGATTAGTGGGTCCCTGGAGAAATCTCCCACTGAGCTTACTTTACTTTCATGTATTCACTTTAGTCTGGATGCTGCCAATGGTGCCAGCTATGGCAAAAAAGCCCTTGAGAGTGATAATTAAGCTTTTTTTTTTTATAGAATGTCTTTAGCACATGCTAAACGTGTTATTTTCTCCCCACGCTGATGAAAATACTCTCTGAAGATTCTGAGCACCTATCTGTTTTTTCTTTTTGAATTGTTTCCTGATTGGTGACAGCTATTGCTTTTGAAATGGCCTGGCTTGACGTTTTAAATGCAGTGTGGGTTTTTAAAAAAAATTATTTTTCGTATTACTGCTGTACTCTCTTAGCAGCCATTAATAATTGTCCCTGCCACACAGTGAAGTCTCTCTGTACCTGACAATATGCTGCCTACTGCTAACCAAGCCTCCAGCCACCCTTCAGCAGCCAGCCATGCAAGCTTTAATGTTGCTTTTCCACCAGAGGGCAACATGTGTACTGTAATCCACAAACACCCTTATGTCTCCTTCACTTCTCTAGATGCACGTTAGCTTTCTTTACACTAACATTTTGTTTATAACACCATATGCCATAGACAGACTCTTATGAAAATAGAAATACCTTTTATTTTAATGGGAAAACCTCTGAACTGCCAAACCTTTCAGATTATCTGTCTGTAGTATGACACCATGAGACAGAGGACTAAAGCTTTGTTTCACTCAGATTTCTCCCTGATATGAGAAGTAGAAACAGCTTTTTTCTGCAGTAGAAGTAGCCATCTGTATTTATATTCTTTAAATCAATTGTAAGAACAAAGCACACATTACACATCTTCCACCTTTAGGGGGCTCTCAAGCTCTGTGGAGGCCCTCTTGTCTAGTCAGTACAGATAAATGGCACCTCGTTAATCAAATCTGCATGAGTGCGCTCAGGTTGCTATGGCAATAATTATCAGAGCTGCCTAATTAACTTTCTCAATTGCTTAATGATATACGACCCTCTGAACTCCCTCATTTTTCCTCCCGCTCTAATCCAAGTTGTTGTGTTTTTATTCCTTCATTTTCACTCCCCAATGTTAACCCGTGACCGCCAAGATAATAGAAATTATGGAGAAATTAAATTCAGCACCACATCACTTCCTATCGGTCCACGCGTGCCAAGTCTGAAACAAGCGGGTGGTGTCAGACTTCACGTGAAGTGCCCACCACTGAATGCCAGCACATGTAGCCGACGTGTGTCTGGCCTGTACGCTGTGCAACTTGCATACTTTGTCTTCTGCTGTGACCTCATGTGACAGCTGACTGAAGGTTGGGAGCAGCGGTCCTGTCGTCCCTGATCAGCCAGGCGAAACTCTTGAGATACTGAATCGTACCTGGTGACACCCACCCTGCCATCCCCTGTCACACTACTTCCTTTCTTTACTGCCTCCTGTCAGCCTGCAACCCCCTAACTGGGTACAGTTCACACTGATCCCAAGTTGTTCCTGGTTAGTTTTTGACATCTTTTTGACAGAAATGTATAAGTTCTGCATGGAAAACAACTGTATTGAACCAGTTCAGGACTTTTATTCACAAGATGAGTACTCTCTAGTCAGTGCTCAACTTTTTCAGAATGATATACTTTCAGAAGCTTTTTAAAGTTTGCCACTGATAAGCAAGAAGAAATACTAGATTCTCGTTTCTAGATCTGAAACTCTTGACAAGTGACTTATTTTGTCTCAAAAGCAAAGAAATAACTATTAATTTGACACCCAAGATCAGTTTGCATCAAATCTTTTACTCATTAGTTTCTTTTAGCTGTTGCCTTGACCAAGTAGTTTTAGTTTCCCAAATAT